GCTGCTGCTGCTGCTGCTGCTGCTGCTGCTGCTGCTGCTGCTGCTGCTGCTGCTGCTGCCGCAGGGGGGCGCTGGGGGCGGCAGCGGCGGCCGCCGCCGCCTCCGCGCCGGCGGCCGTGGCGGCGCTGGCCATCTTGCCCTCCGCCGCCGCCGCCGCCGCCGGGGAGCGGGCAGCGGCGGCGGCGGCGGCAGGGCCCGAGGTGGCGTCGCCCTCGGGCGTCGGCGCGGCCGCGGCGGCCGAGGCCGCCGCCCGACGCAGCCGCCGCCGTCGCGGAGCTGCCCGCGCCCGCCGTCGGGGGGGGGCGGCCACGGCCGCAGGGGGCGAGGCCGCGCGCGCGGCCACAGGGCGCCCGGGCCGCAAGGCGGCGGGCGGCGACGGCCAGCCAGAGGCGGCGGCCGCCGCGGCCCTCCGCAGCGCAGCCGGGCAGGCGGCACGGCCGCGCCCAGAGCGCGCCCAGGGCCGCGCCGGCGGCGGCCGGCCGCAGCGCGGGGGCGTCGGCGGCGCGGCGGCGGCCGCGGCGTCCGGGGCGCAACAGACAGCGGCAGGCGCGGCGGCGCCGGCCCACCGCGCGCAGCCCCGCTGCTTGTTTGGCCGCCGCCAGCGGGGACCGGCAGCCACGCGGCGCGGCGGCAGCAGCGGCCGCCGCGAAGGCAGCCGCGGCGCCCGCCCGCGGCGGCGCCGAAGGGAGCCAGCGGAGGCGGCCGCGGCGGAGGCGCGGCGGCGGCGCGGCGGCGGCCGCGGCGCAGCGGCCGCACGGGCGGCGCAGCGCCGCCGCCACCGCGCTTCGCCGGGGGGCGGCGCCGGCCGCTGCGGCGGCAGGTGGCGCGGGGGCGGCGGGGCGGCCGCAGCGGGCCAGCCGGAGGCGGCGCCCGCGCCAGAGGGCGGCGCCGCCGCGGGCGCTGCAGCAGCGCGGGCGGCTGGAGCGCAGAGCAGCGCGGGCGGCGGCCGCGGCGCCCAGGGCGCGGGCGGCAGCGGAGCCGGCGGCAGGGGCGGCAGCAGCCCGGCGCTGCCGCCGCCGCCGAACCGCAGGAGACAATATCGCCCGGGGGCGGCGGCCGGGAGGGGGGGGAGGCGAGACCACCCCGTCCAAGCCGCCGCCGGAGGCCTGCGGGCGCGCCCGCCAGGCCGCAGGACCCAGGCCGCGCAAACCACCTCGAGCCGAGACGCCTTGAGCCAGGGCTACGGAGGCTGGTGGGGATACGCGAAGCGTTGTCCATCCGCGGCCCCAAGATGTCCCGACCGCCTCCCTGGGTGTATTTTCCCGTCCCCGGTCCATGTTCGATGGTCCTGGGGCCCGCAAGTGGCCCTCGAGGGCCGAGATCGAGGAAAAAACGCCAGTTCGAAAAAGCACGTCGTCGGAGCTCTGGGCGGGGGGGGGATGGGATGGGCATGCGTTCCTTCGCGGATGGCGGCGAGCAAGACCCATTTTCCCCAACCCTCCTGTGTTGGGTTCTCGTTCTGGGTAGAGCACCGTGGTATCCACCCCTCCCTCTGGCGATGTGCTCTTTTGCATGGAGCGCTCGTGCAGATGTTCCCCCCCGCGTGTCGATGGGGTCGGGGACGTTTCGGGCAGTGCTCCCTGGGCCTGCGGCGCACCACACCCGTGGCCCTCCAGCCAGCCTGGGGCTGGGAAAGGGTCCAGACACCACCTCGCCACCACAGGGAGCGCCGAGCAAGGGACGACGGGGCGCGTCTGGCCGCGGCGAGCCTCGGCCACGCATGGGCTCCCCGCCCAACGAGCGGCACGAACACTGGAGCCCCTCCTGAGCCCAGAAGGATCCCCGTTTCAACGTGTTGGCTGCAGGCGCGACTCCTTGTTCTCTCCAGCCCCGGACGACAATGCGACGAGCAGGATCCAGAATAGGCTGGGGACTTGGAGAGACCCCTCAGGGGCGAGCCCAAGCAGAAGCAGCACGCAGCAGGCAGCGCAACAGCGGAGCGACTGGAAGGGAAGAAGGAGGAGGAGGAGGAGGAGAAGCCCAAGGATCCGACGTCCTCCCAGATGTCTGGACGTTCATCCCGAGTCCTTGCTTGACGGTGCCGGGACCCTGAGGGCCCCGAGGGGCCGAAAGTGACCAGAAACCTCCTGTCGTGATTCCTCTCAAGACGCGAGGGTGTCAGGTAGGAGGAGGAGCAGCAGCAGCAGCAGAGGAGCAGGAGAAGGAGGAGGAGGAGGAGGAGGACAAGATAGGAGGAGGGAGGCACGCAGCGCAGAGGGGAGAGAACCACAGTGGCCCACGCTGCGGGAGGGCCGAGAAGAGCCTCGGCGTCGGAGGCTGGGGTCAGACCAGAGCGGGGGCCGCACTACAGCGCGAGTGAGCGGATCCGCGCCGGCGGCGCCAGTGTATCGGCTACGCCCTAGAGTGGCGCTAGGCAAGAGTGACCTTCAGTGCGCGGGTGACTCCTCCAACTCCTCCTCCTCCTCCCTCCTCCTCCTCCTCCTCCTCCTCCTCCTCCTCCTCCTCCTTTCTCCTCCTCCTCCTCCTCCTCCTCCTCCCCCTGCTCCTCCTCCTCCTCCTCCTCCTCCTCCTCCTCCTCCTCCTGCTCCTCCTGCTCCTCCTCCTCCTGCTCCTCCTCCTCCTCCTCCTCGTCCTCCTCCTCCTCCTCCCTCCTCCTCCTCCTCCTCCTCCTCCTCCCTCCTCCTCCTCCTCCTCCTCCTCCTCCTCCTCCTCCTCCTCCTCCATTCCTTGACCTTGAAAACGACTTCTCCCTGTCGCACCCCGAGGCCAGATTTCAGGGCGGCCGGGCGTTTCGCATGAGAATTTCCCCACTATTGATGACTTTGAGGCTAAAAAATGAGAACACCTTCACAAATGGAGGGCGGGTGGTTTCCAAAGTGTGGCTCTCGCCTTAGCGCGGCGCACATTCGTTCGAAGAAATTTGCAAGAGCTTCACGAAATTTGGCTCTCGCCTTAGCGCCGCGCACATTCTTGCACAAAACAATCAAGAGTTTCACATAATTTCCATCATCAACGTACCAGAAAATGTGTTGGAAGGATTCAGGATTATGCGGGTGCAACAGTTACGTTGATTCTCTGTGCTGGAGTCCTAGGAAAGGCGTTCTGGCACGATTCAGGATCGTCAAAACGCAACAGTCTGGTTGATCCGTGGCGTTGGCATCCCGAGAAAAATTGTTTGGCATGCTTCAGGGTCTGCAAGCGGGTGTCTTCCAACGAAGCAGTTCCATCAATGGAAATGAACGTCGTATGGGGCCTATGAAGAGAGAGCTTGGAGGGAGGGCTTACTCCAACATCGTTGATGACTCTTGGGTTTACACTGGTCCTCCTCCTCCTCCTCCTCCTCCTCCTCCTCTTCTTGTTCTTCTTATTAATAGTATCATCCGTATTACTCTTAGCACTATTATAATTATTAGTATTATGTTTATTATTATTACTACTACTACTATTATTATTAGTATTATTATTATTATTACTATTATTAATATTAATATTATTGTTGATATTAGTAGTGTTATTCCTCTTACAGATTATGCGTATTACTCTTCCTCCTCCTCCTCCTCCTCCTCGTCCTCCTCCTCCTCCTCCTCCTCCTCTTCCTCCTCCTCCTCCTCCTCCTCCTTCTTCCTCCTCCTCCTCCTCCTCCTCTCCTCCTCCTCCTCCCCCCCTCCTCCTCCTCCTCCTCCTCCTCCTCCTCCTCCTCATCCTCATCCTCATCCCTTCTCCTCCTCCTCCTCCTCCCCCTCCTCCCCCGAGTCCTAGGCAAGAGTGACCAAGGGGCACCAGACGGCCAAACCCAAGCGCGCAAGCAGCCACCATCGCATCGCGCTCAGCGATCGGGGGGGGCCCAGTGAGCCCGCACCAAAGGCCGCTCCCGCGAAGGGCCACTCTTACGAGTGGCCGAAGGCATCGATCAAAGCGCGCGGCGGCGGAGCCGAACCCGGCTGCATGCAGCAGATTTCGTCCCCCCCTTCCCCAATATCCCCCCCCCTGTCGCCCGACCCGATGGGCCATCGGCCCCCCCGCCTGGAGGCCGCCCAGACGGTGCCAGCTTAGATGGTCTCGCAGGCAGCAAGTGGTGCCCTCAAATGATGTCAGGATCCGTCCCCCTTCGGCCCATCCCTGCCCCATTCGGCCCATCCCTGCCCCGTTCGAAAAGCATCAACCTGGTGTCGGTCGGAGGATCGCGAAACGCCTCGCGGAGGCATCGGCGCCGCATCGGCGGCGGCGAGGATGGAGACAGTCGGGCCTCGGATCGCGCCGCATCGCTCCGACCCCATCTGGTGCTGCCCCCATTTGGGCGATGAAACAAACCAAAGAACTCTCAGGCTGTGATTGCACATTTTTTCCTCTGCCTGGCTCTAGAACATGTCGGATGACTTCTACATTCGAGCCTCGGCGGCTTGAGCCACGAGGCTGAGAGGCTGGGCACGGCCTCCACACCCCACAACAGAAGCTGGCACACTGGCTCGTACCCCCACCCACCCAGGGCAAGATCAAGCAACATCGCATCGGGAAACTGGATCGAACCGCAACGTGCGTCAAATCAGGTTACACCGGCACGAAGTCGGACTCCATTCGGATCAACCGCGCCAGGATGCACAACGGCGCCATGCAAGCATCGGGCCAGCATCGGGTCTTCTGCATCTCAGACTCGAATTGGATCGGGCCGGCAGGAATCGAACTCGAAGTCGGATCGACCAGATCGAAGTGGACCCTGCCGGTGGGCGCCAACGACCTTACAGCTACGGGTGCCAGAATTCCCCACGTGCCAGGCGCAGACTTGCACATCAAACACCAGAGGCTTCCTACATGGGGTCCGAGGAGATGGGGTCGGAGGATCGCGCCGCATCGCCGATGCATCGACGATACATCGCCGATGCATGGGCGGTGCATCGGCGACGTCGGCGATGCATCGGCGGCATCGGCGTGGAGAAAATCGGGCTCCACATCGAGCTGCATCTCCGATGCATCGGGGATGCGGCACGATCCCCCGACCCTATCTACTCGGACCCCATCTGGGAGGCCTAGAGACACGTCGCCTCTGAGCATAGCCTCGTTGATGTCCGGCGGGAAGCCCTTCACGTACAGGTTGTCCCTGCAGGGCTGCCCGCAGACCCCAGCGGCCACGTGGGCCGCCGCCGCGCCTGCGCGAGGCCCACCTGGGGCAAAAGGCAAGCACACAGCTAAAGAGGAGCAGGAGGAGGAGGAGGAGGAGGAGGAGGAAAAGGAGAAGGAGCAGATTGCGCAACGTGGACCCCAAGAGCGCCAGACAGCCGGCGTCCCCTGGATGAGCCCCAAGCGACAGTTGGACGAGCAGGATTCAGGACTGACTACCTACCTGACCCCCAACTCAACCCGAAGGCCCGAATTTCGGATTGGGAGCGATACGGGCTTCATACATATGTATATATATATAGATATATAGACACAAATGTGTACATATAGATAGATAGATAGATAGTTTCCATGTTCCCCGACACCCCCCACACACACACACACACACACACACACACACACACACACACACACACACACACACACACACACACACACACACACTGTTCCATCTTCCCCGACCCCCACACACACACTGGAAATGAATGGCAAGTCGGGGCCGTCGGGTTGGGTTGGGGTGTATCTGTGGGCGGTGAAGGACGGGCTGGGGACTTGGAGAAACGCAGGCAGTGCAACAGCGGGAGCGACTGTGACGAGGGACGACGACCAAGGTCTAGCATCCGCGCCGAAGCCGAACTTCAGCCAAGCAGACAGTGTGTAGTAGGGAACCGAACTCTGTATTCCGACGCTTTTCCTGGCCCTGCACTGACACGTGCACAGGGGTGCGGATCCTGGTGCATACGGGATCCTGATGTATACATTTGTCGAGAAAGGATAAAACAAGTATACACCACACCACCCCAACGTCGTCACCGACCCTCAAAAAGTGCTGAGATTGAAAAACAGCCCACCATTGGTAATGTACACGTCGTTCATTTCTAGTCGTGCTCATTTCTAATTGTGCTCGTTTCTAAGTGTTCCTGGCCCCTTAGTGGCCAAGAAGAGGCCCAGGATAGAACAAGTAGAAATGAAAGGATCTTGGCCCCCTAGAAAATCAAAGAACTTCCGCAGAATTAGAAATGAACAGTGCGTATATGTTCCAGTTTCGGACACTAGCCAAGCAGACGCTGTGTAGCTCAGCCTAAACAGAGGGAGGATCGTATAGAGCCAAGCCCGGACCGCAGTCGGCCCAAGCCTGCGGCGATGCTCGGCACCGCCGCGGGCTCCAGGCTGGCTATGTCCACGGCTTCCGCCCAGAACACGACTGCCTACCAGACCACCCCAACACAACCCGAAGACACGAAGCTCGGGCTGGGCGGTGTACGGGTTCCATATGTGTTTTTCAATGTTCCCCGAGCCCCCCCCACTGTGAATGGGGACAAATTGGGGCCTTCGGGTTGGGTAAGGGTGGTTTGGTGGGTGGTGAGAACACGGAGAAAAAAGTTCGCGCCAGCTTTTGCTCAGCGGGAGCGGCTGGAAGGAAGGAGGAGGAGGCGGAGAAGGAGGAGGAGGCGGAGGAGGAAAGCACCGGCTCCGCGCAGGCCCCATCGGCCTTGCGAGCCAGCGCCAGGCGGCCCAGCGGCCGGCTGCCCTCCCTCCCCAGCCGCCTCTCTAGAGGCCTCCCGGATGGGGTCGGAGTAGATGGGGTCGGAGGATCGCGCCGCATCGCCGATACATCGGCGATGCGTCGGCGAGGCACCAGCAATGCATTGTCGACGTCGAAGGTGCATCGGCGACGTCGGCGTGAAGGAAATCGGGCTCCGCATCGAGCCGTATCGGCGATGCATCGTCGATGCGGCGCGATCCTCCGACCCCGCCCGCTCCGACCCCATCTGAGAGGCCTGGACTCTCGCCCCCCCCCCTGCAGGAGTGGCCCTTCCGCCTTGGCTCTCGGAGGACAGCCGCCCGCGGCGGCCCCAGCGCTCGGGGGGCGGCGCGCCGTGCCCGAGTGGGACGGCATCAGGCGAGGGCTGCGCAGGCCCTCCTCTGCGCGTGCGGCGACCTCACCCACTGGGGGTGCCGACCAACGCGCCTCGGCACCGCGCTCCGACAGGCTTTGGATAGGGCTGCCCCGATGCGCAACAAGCAAGACGTAGCATGTTGGCACGGAGCTCCGCACGTAGACTGAAAACGTGGATCTGCGCGATACTCTCTCCAAAAGGTGGGCCAGCACGTGCCGAGCCAACCCGCAGCGTGCTAGCACAGACGCTTTGAACAAGGCACGTGCTCCGCTTCAACACGGGCGCATCAGGGGGGCAGTAACGGCTTTGGAGGCTCCTGATACTCGCCCACCTCGTGCTCCGCCGGTCGCGGAGCATGGGAGTCCTCCACCGGCACCTGATGCGCCAAGGGCTGGGCCCCTGACGCCGACGCAGGCCAAGGAGTCGATCGTATCCGCTGCAGGTGTCGGAGGGTGGTCGAGGTCTTCTGCGCTCAGCTCCTCCGCCGAGCCGTGGTTCCCCTCATCCCATGCAGGGGAGCCAGACGAGCAACGATCCAAAACGGGTCTTACTGGAGATGACCTGGCGACCGTACGCGGCGGCTTACGCGGGCCGCCAGCGCGGAACGCTACATTTCAGACGAGTCCCTAGCAGGACGCAGTGTGCCGGGGACATCTCGTCTGCTGGGGGCATCTTTTCTGCTGGGGGCGAGGAGACGACCGCCGAGTTAAACAGCAATCCCGATGCCGCTGCACTGAAAGGGTGAGGGCGCGAGCGTGAACTTCTGGACGAAGCCGTTGATTTGCTCCAGCTCAGGTGTATCAGCGAGGCACCTCTCCTACGCTGAAGCCACCGCCACTCTCGAAATGCTCATGCCGGACATTGAGAATTTCCCGAAGCGTCTGGTACAGGACACATCTTATGTCGTGTCTGAGTGGGGCGGCGGCATAAGTGCAGAGTGCTGGCGCAAAGCCGCTCGTGGCACAGATCACTCGGTTCCTCCGGGCACCTTCGTCATGTTGGCCGAAGTAGGCAGGTATGCTACCGAGGCTCGAGACTTGCATCTAGGAGCTAAGAATTGAAGGCTGCCGCCATATTCCGGTCACATGGACGTTCACGTCAAATGGAGAGAGCCTTAGCAAACAAGCCAATGGGTACCTGTTGCCAACGCACTGGGTACGGAAGCTCTGCTGTGATCAACTGGTTGCTGGGGACCGCGGCGGCTGCAGACGCACAAGTTCAGGGCGATCGTTTGTCTTCGCTCAACACTTTTGATAAGACGCCAGAGGCGGTGGCAATGCAGTCTGCACGCTTGTCTCCGTTCGTGGCGCCGGCTTTCATATCCACCACTGACGGTTCACCGCCAGTGAGTGCTGAGCGCGGCGACATCGTCAGCTAAGGCATCGCCTGGCCAGTGGTGTGGAAGTTGCCGCACGGGTCAGGCCGGCTGTGCGGTTGGACGCGGCTCGAATCGCTGGTGGCCCTGCGGTCCAGGGGTGCCGTCTGCGGGTGTCCGGGTCGACGGGTCCTGTGCCTACGCAACCCCCCCTGCGGCCTCCTGCTCTCCCGCTCGTTCTCTCTTCCTCCCCTGCGTCTCCCCTCGTCGGTAGGCGCGTTAACTTGGGACCTGTCCTGCGTCGGGGGTCTGTGAGTACACGTCGCCTCTGCATGCGAATTTGTTTTCATTTCGGGAATGGGCGACGTTCATCTCGAACATCATTAGGCAGCGAGCGAGCGAGGCGGAGGAGGAGACCAGACATCCGACGGTTTCGCAACGTGGCCCCCCAGAGGTCTGAGAGAGCGCGCCCACAGCGCCGACGCAAAGGGGGGGTGGTTCCCCCTTTCCAAAGGGAGGGGGGAGCTTAGCTACCCCCCCCCCTCCCCTTGACCACCCTCTGCCGGAAGCTACCCCCCCCCCTTTAGTTCCTGAGGGGGGGGGAGCTTAGCAGCCCCCCCCCCTCACCCCTTTCGGCACCTGGGAAGCTACACCCCCCCTCCCCCCCTTACGCAAAGGGAGGGGAGGGCTTAGCTACCCCCCTCTCACCTTGACCCCCCTCTGCCGGAAGCTACCCTCCCCCCCCCTTTGGTTCCAAAGGGGGGGGGGGAGCTTAGCAGCCCCCCGCCCCTTTCGGCACCTGGGAAGCTACCCACCCCCTCCCCCCCTTACGCAAAGGGAGGGCGGTGCTTAGCTACCCCCCCCCCCCCTTCTCTTGACCCCCTCTGCCGGAAGTTCCCCCGCCCCTCCCCCCCTTTCCTTCCAGGGGGGGGGGGGGGGGGCTTAGCAGCCCCCCCCCCCCCCCCTTTCGGCACCCGCCTACCCCCCGCTCCCCTCCTTACGAGAAGGAAGGAGCGGGGCTTGGCTACCCCCCCCCCTCCCCTTGACCCTCCTCTGCCGGAAGCTCCCCCCCTCCCCCCCTTACTTCCAAAGGGAATGCGGACTTAGCAGCCCCCCCCCTTTCCATCCCGGCATCCGGTAAGCCGCCCCTCTTCCCCTCCACCACCTTACGAAATGTGAAGGCGGAGCATAGCAACATCCCTCCCTCCCTTGACCTCCTCTGGCGGAAGCCCCCCCTCCTCAATGTTTTGCTTCTTCCCCTGCAGGAAACTACCCGCCCCCCTTTTCAAAAGGAGAAAACGCGGCTTAACTATCACCCCCCTCCCTTGAACTCCCCCCTGCCGGACGATCCTCCCCCATCGCCGTCGTCGTTGCCGTCGCCGTCGCTCGACGTCTTCGTACGACGCCGTCGTCGTCCTCGTCGTCGTTGTCGCCGCCGTCGCCGTCATTGTCGCCGTCTTCGTATGACCTCGTCGTGGTCGTCACGACGAGGACGAGGTCATGCGAAGACGGCGACGGACGAGGGACGACGCGCGACCGACGACCGACGGCGACGACGACCCAGGGTCAGAGAAAACGAGACCACGACCCAGGGGCCGAGAAAACGAGGAAACGAACCAGGGACCGAGAAAACACGACCACGACCAAGGGGCAGAGAAAACAAGCAAACGAACCAGGGCCCGAGAAAACGAAAAACGAGAAAACGAAACGGGGTCCGAAAAACGAGACCACGACCCAGGGGCCAACAAATTGAGACAACGAGAAAACAAACCAGTGCCCGATAAAACGAAATCACGACCCACGGGCCGAGAAAACGAGACAACGGATAAACGAACCAGGGCCCGAGAAAGCGAGAATACGACCCAAGGGCCGAGAAAATGAGACGACGACCAAGGGGCAGAGAAAACGCGAAAACGATACAACAAACCAGGGTCCGAGAAAACTGTGGACCACGACCAAGGGGCCGAGAAACCAAGAAAACGAGAAAACGAATAAGAGTCCGAGAAAACAAAGCCACGACCCAGGGGCGAAGAAAACGAGAAAACGAGAAAGCGAACCAGGGTCCGAGAAAACGAGACTACGACCTAGGGGCAGAGAAAACGAGAGAACGAACCGAGGCCCGAGAAAACGAGACTACGACCCAGGCGCCGAGACAACGAGAAAACGAGAAAACCAACCAGCGCCCGAAAAAACGAGACCACGACCCAGGGGCCGAGAAAACGAGACAACGAGATAACGAACCAGGGTCAGAGAAAACAAAACCAAAATCCAGGGGCCGAGAAACGGAGAACACGAGAAACCGAACCAGGGTTCGAGAAAACGGGACCAGGATCAAGGGGCCGAGAAAACAGAAAACGAACCAGGGTCAGAGAAAACGAGACCACGACCCAGGGGCCAAGAACACGAGAAAACGAGAAAACTAGCAAGGGACCGAAGAAAAAGGGCACCACGACCCAGGGGCCGAGAAAACGAGAAAACGAGAAAACGAGATCACGAACCAGGGCCCCCCCAAAAAACACACACAAAAAAACAAAAAAAACGAGAAAACGAGAAAACGAAACACGAACCGGGGCCCAAGAAACCGAGGCCACGACCCAGGGGCCGAGACAACGAGAAAACGAGAAAACCAACCAGCGCTCCAAAAACGAAAACGCGACCCAAGGGCACAGAAAACGCGAAAACGAAGCAGGGTCCGAGAAAGCACGACCACGACCCAGGGGCCGAGAAAACAAGAAAACGAACCAGGGACCGAGAAAACGAGACAACGAACAAACGAATCAGGGTCAGAGAAACAGGAGGCCATGACCCACAGGCCGAGAAAACGAAAAAACGAGCAAACGAACCAGGCACCGAGAAAACGAGAACACGACCCACGGGCCGAGAATATGAGAAAACACGAAAACGACCCACGACCCAGGGGCCGAGAAAACGAGAAGACGAGAAAACGAACCAGGGTCCGAGGAAACCACGACCCAAGGGCCAAGATCACCAGAAAACGCTTGGCTCGAGAAAATGAAACCACGACCCAGGAGCCGAGAAAACGAGGAAACGAGAAAACGAAGCAGGGTCAGAGAAAACGAGACCACCAACCGGGGGCCGAGACAACGAGAAAACGCGAATACTAACCAGCGTCCGAGAAAACGAGACCACGACCCAGGGGCCGAAAAAACAAAAAAAACGAGAAAACGAACCAGGGTCAGAGAAAACAAGACCACGACCCAGGCGCCGAGAAAACGAGAAAACGAAAACACGACCCAAGGGCCGAGAAAACGAGACCGCGACCCAGGAGCCGAAAACGCGAGAAAACAAGAAAACGAACCGGGGACCGAGAAAAAGGGAAAACGATAAAAGGAATCAGGACCCGAGAAAACGAGACAACGAACCAGGGGCTGAGAAAACGAGAAAACAAGAAACAAACCAGAGGTCGACGTTGTTCTCCAAAGCGTTCTCTAGCGCTGCGGTGCGCACCTGTCGTCAGGGATTCCGCCATTTTGCCACAGCCCCGGAAGAGAGGGGGGGGCGTAGCTTCTGAAGCCCCCCCCCCACCCTTTGCAAAGGAGGAAGGAGGGGAATAGCTTGAAGCCGCCCCCCCCCTGTGCCCAGACCAAAAAGGAGGGGGGGTAGCTTCCAAAGCCACCCCCCCCTTGAAAGGGAAGCCTGGGCTCTCCTTCTGCTCTTGACAAGGTAGGGAGGGGGGGGTAGCTTCGAAGCCCCCTCCCCTTCAGCCAGGGCCCCCCTAGCTTAAAAACCCTTACAGAAGGGAAGGGGGACAGGGGGGTAGCTTCGGAAGCTCCGCCTCCCCTTTTGGAAGGGAGGGGGGGGTGGTAGCTTGAAGCCGGGGCCTCCCTGTGTACAAACCAAAAAGGAAGGGAGGAGGGGGGTAGCTTCCGACCCCCCCCCCCTTTGAAAGGGAAGCCCGGGCTCACCGTCTGCTCCAGAAAAGGAAGAGAGGGGGAGGGGTAGCTTCGAAGCCCCCCCCCTTCAGCCTGGGCCCCCCCAGCTTAGAATTCCTTACAGAAGGGAGGGGGGGTAGCTTCAGAACCCCCCCCCCTCTTTTGGAAGGGAGGGGGGGGGTAGCTTGAAGCCGGGGCCCCCCTTTTCGTATTCCTGGCGCTGCGGGCGCGCTCTTTCAGAGGTCTGGACCTCTTCTCGGGGACCAGCTTCTCGTCCCGAACCGTCTTGCTGACGGAGTCGGGGCCCGGCAAGGACCCCCGCAGGCCTAGTCAGCAAAACATTCGGCGGCGCCCTTCCCACGACGCGGGGAGGTCAGGCACCATCGTGCCTCCACGGAGCCTGCGGTCGGTTCGCGTCGTGACGACCCTGGCGTTGGTCCCTGACACCGCGTGCATCATTCAGTCTCGAACGATCGGCGGTTCTTCGATCGCCGGATCATTCCATGTTGGTCGACTCCCCAGACATGCGACGTCCTGATTTTTTCGATACGGGGTCCATGGAAGTCCCGACCTTTTTCTCGGGACCAGCTTTTCATCATGAGTCGTTTCTTTACGGCCCCGAGGCCCGGCGAGGACCCCCCGAGGCCGAAAGTGGCCAAAAACCTCCCGTCCTGATTTCCTTGCGATGCGATCATGTCTGGGTCTGGGCCACTGACGGCGCTCACCCTTGAACGCCCGAGGCCGGGTCGCCGCCGCGCCACCGCAGCAGAGAGCTGCCGCAGAACTCGCTCGGCCCCAGCCTCGGTGCGCCCCAGGCCGCCAGCCAGAGGCAGGGGAGGCCACACGCGCACCCCGAGGCCTGGCTTGGCGAGCGGGCCCTGCAGCGGCCAGGCAGCAGAGGGCAGCGGGGCTCCTCCTCCTCCTCCTCCTCCTCCTCCTCCTCCTCCTTCTCCTCCTCCTCCGCCTCCGCCTCCGCCTCCTCCTCCGCCTCCTCCTCCGCCTCCTCCGCCTCCTCCTCCTCCTCCTCCCTCCTCATCCTCCTCCTCCTCCTCCTCCCTCCTCCTCCTCCTCCTCCCCTCCTCCTCCTCCCTCCCCTCCTCCCCCTCTCCCCCTCCTCCTCCTCCTCCTCCTCCTC